AGTCAATATCGTATTTAAGGGATTAAATTTTGGAGTAGCGGGGGATTGAATCTTTAACTCCCTAGTATGGCCTTGTAACTTTCTTTTAGTAAGTTCATTTGTTTAACAATTGTTATAATAACGCGAGTAATCGTGGTATAACAAGAATGTAAGATATCTGTGTACTCTGTAGTAGGTTATACTTAAACATTATTAAATTACTACAGATTTCGATTTGGTTACATAACGCAATGCTGTGGTACTCGTGAAACGGCGGTTATTAATAATAACTTATTATAATGATATTATATTTTATGTACCCACCTAAACCTATATACGCTCACGGTGCTACAGTGCATGACGTTTAAAGGAATCCACTTTGCTTTTAAATATATTATTAACGAGACCCTATTAAACACTCACTGCTGCCGTTAGCGACTCGTAACGTATTCAAAACGATATTATGAGTTGTGACTGTTATTTTGATTAATATTTTGTTAACGAATATATATACGTGCCGTGGTCGAAAAAACAGTATTCATAATTTCGTCATTTTATGTAGGTAGTAGGTACCTATTTGTTCAACATTGTGTGTGTGCGCGACGGGTTGGTAACGTTTTATTAGTATATCTATGTCATTTTTCAAATGCGTTTAACAATGTACAAGTGAATTAAAAGAGATTGTTAATAATGCTAATAATATTGAGTATAATATTATAATTTATAATAATATAATAGGACCGATGTAGTGTAAACGATATTATACGATCAGGTGATAATTAAATAGTTATCGATATAGTCATATTAGTAAGTAATATAAGTAAGTTATGACGGTAATTTATTATAATATGATTTATTAATACACCTATTATTCAAGTGTTATCGATAAATACTTTGAACTATCAAAACGAAAAAAAATTAATAACTAACCCATTTAAATAATGTCTCACCGTTTGTTGTGCAATTATAATATACAAATTAATTTATGAAATATGTAATTATGCTATTTGTATTTTATACTGCTGTTAATTACTAGATATATAATACATAGCTACATATATTATTAATAAAAGATTATCTTTGTTTTTTAGACATTAATTAAATGCAATTAATGGCGTCAGTGAATGCTATTGAAAATTGTAATTTCATTATATTAGTTCACTTATTTTTATTATTAATTTAAATTTAAAACTAATTGACGCCTTTTAAAGCTTTCTATAAATCGAAAAATATTATACTGTAACACAATATTAATTTAAATGATTTAAGCAAAACACAGATTTTCTTTACAAATTGTTTATCGTGGTTTATATAATTTACATTTAATTTCAAAACTTTGTATTGTACCTAACTCATAAAGAGAGAAAAACCTTGAGAACTACTTAAGAATTTTAATGGGGTTAGCTACTTTATTTTTTTTTTTAATTCTCAATCAAATGAAATATAAAATAATAATTTATTTGATTATTATTTTTAATTCGTATACCTTATGTATACATAAACTACAGTCTACAGTGGATAGTTTATTATAACATTATAACATACTTAGTTTGGTCTGTCTTGAAAAATAATTTAAATTATATAATAAAATATATACCTGTTAAACGTTTTTTACTATTTAATTTTTTTTTATTATTATTTTGGGACTAGTTTCTATATAGTAGCAAACATAATACTAAAAAAAATTCGCATAAAAAAAAATTATGATCTTAGATAAATTAGCTTTGTAATTTTATACTGAAGAATGTTTTGAATTGCAAATAACACTTGTGGATGTCTTTGTGAGTTATGGGGTCTACATATATAGACTGTATGCGCGTGCAATACCCATATGTATGTGTGTTTATGTTGAGACAAGGTCCCTTATATATATAAAATAATAGATGATAAAAAAGTTTGCAGTGGTATTTTTTACGAACCCATAACGGTCCAGTTGCTGCAGTAAGGGTGTTTACAAATGGTCATGAAACGGAACAAGCTTTCGTGCAAAAATAAAAAGGAATTCGATCGAAAAGCTAAAAAAGAATAAAACTCTGACCCCATTTGTCAGACGGAACTAAATTTTATAAATGCTCTTTCCTGTAGATTAAAAATTATTCATATTGCAGTTCGAATAATAAAAAAATATATAATTTTATTATATAATATGTCTTTTGTTAATAAAAAACTTTTTATTTTGTATTTATAATACACGTAGATACAATATAACATAGCCTATAGTTAAATAATATTTATAGAATATAGCCATTTAGGTACCTTTGTAATTACTTATTTTATATTTATATGGTGATAATTTTATTGTATGTACATTTTATGATTATTTTATTGAAGGAAAGAACTTTTTTATCAACTACTAAATTAAATATTTTAAAAATAGTATGCTATATAGGTACTATTTATTTAATAAATATTATTTAATAGCATTTAATATGCTATGTAAACACTGCTATAAACGGTTAATTGAATTATTTTTTAAACATCTGTTTATTATAGCTCTTTTCTTCTCCAGAAACGTATATTTGATATTTTGATGTATCTTTAAACTCGTGGAATATAATATCTGCATTATTACTTTCATATTAATTATATTAAAAAAAAAAAAAATTCTTATTAATGCTGCTAATATTTTTGTAATTTGAATTGTGATGTTATCTTTAATATCTGTATTTATTATAATTACGTTATTTTATAATTATTTTCTTTTTATTATTTTGTACATGATAATAAATTAATTACATCATGCCGTTTACTTATCGTTTTATAATAAATTTATGATTCATTATCTATATTATCATTGAAAAATGAAACCCAGTACTATTTTTATGCCATTTTAAATTATAAATTGATTTAAACCCCATTTATCAGATCTTTATTATTTACTCAAAGGAAAATATAAAAAAAAAAAAAACTTAAGAAGTACAAGTGTTTTCTTTTTCAATTGCCATTTTACATTTAAATGGTTTCCTCTCATGAAATCGATATAGGCGTGACAAAAACAATACAAATGTTTGTTTTTGACAGAAAAGTATTCAGAGAAATTGCTTGTTGCTATTCTATTCAATACCCTTTGCGTTTTTTATGTAAAATCGAATTGAAAATAATGAAAAATCGAAAACTGTTGTACAACCTTTCTTTAACTGCACTCAATGAATTTTAATTTATTTTTATACGTTATTTTTTGTGGTTTTTTAAAATAAAAACGAAAGAGTGTTATAATTTTAATTGACCGTAAATTCTTTTTTCCTAAAATAAGGGATGAATACACCGATTTTGCACATTCAAACGGATGTACAATCCAGGTCATTGGTTTTATTTTTACAAACTAATGGTATTTGAATATTTTTTTAAAATTATTGAATGCATAATATTCACTAAATATACATAAAAGGTAGTTGTAAACAACAATACTTATGAGTTATGACCTACCTATAACAAGGTGGGTTCAGGGATTTCCTATGTGTGTTTGTTTGTGTGGGGGGAGGGTACTTTTTTTATTAATCAGCGATGAGTAGAACATAATGACGTAATGACGGTAATGTTTAATCAAAGATGGCAGATAAGGAAAATAAAATAAAATAAATATGTCATAATGCCAGTTTAGAAGATATAATAACATGCCATATTATTAATTATAATTTTATTATACATGATGTTAATTAAATTTAAATACCAACGTCGAGTTTCCGAGATTTATTCGGACAGTTGTTCACGGATAGCTATGGACATCCTCGTAGTCCATATTAAGTCGAGTTTAAAATCTTGTACGTCCATGATCCATCACATATAATTAAGTCAATAGACAATATTATCTTTCTTTCCTCCTCTCAAATTATTAAATAAATCTTATATGACCTCCCTCCCACGAGCAAAAATACCTTAATAAATACAGTGCCGGGGACCGACTGATATCGCACCCGTAATAATACGGTTAATAATCTTGTGGTAAGGTATAATATAATATTATATTATGTGGTTGGAAATAAGATAGTTATTATAACATTTTTCTGTTTCGCATGTACGTGATTGTTTGAAAATTTTTAAAAAATGTCGACCTTTGAGGGTGACGTAAACGTAATGTATATATATGAAGAGGTATCAGCTTAGTATAATAAGTAATATAGGCGTTTACTTGAATTTGAATAATGCGATACGGTGTTTTAGTCCATTCCACGTATTTATGTATCATTATAATACTCTGTTTTACATTAAATTTGCCCTATACACCACTGACAGCACATAAGAGGCTGAACACTTTGGATACTCGCTAAAACGTTTTTGGTATTATATATGCACATATTATTGTATTGTATGGCACTCGATATCAAATAATGCGTGTCCCATTTGGCACAATCCGGAGGGACGAAATAATCATATCTAAACCTACGCACGCAGAGGTATAATCAAATATTAATATTATCGTAATATATATAATATAATGTTTGTCACGTAAATAATATTATAATATGAAAACCTCGGGAAAAAAAATACTCGAGAGTGCAGGTACCGTCGAGTGCCATTGAACAGGGTAGGTATATCGCAGTATTTCGTAATAGCGTCGTGTGCCGTGCCCGGTCGTGGTACTTCTAATAATCATTTTAAGGCTATTTATTTGAATGAATTGCATTTTAATATAAAATTATGTATGCGAATTAAATATTATACCAACTATAAATATTATTCTTAAACGAAATATTATACATATAATAGTAAATACATTTTACTTAGCAATGATTTTATTTTTATATTTTTAATTCTTCTGTATGTCACTGAACTCAGTGAACTCCTCATAAACAACTGGACCGATTTTGATGAAATTTTTTTTTTTTTGTGCGTTCGAGTGGGTCCTTGGACGGTTTAGATTCACAATTATACCCTATAGGTAGCGCTGCAATCGAGTTACAGGAGATTGCGATACGGATATGTCTTAAATAACAACACGTGTGCGAATCTTAGGTGCCATTTATTTCATCGTTTTTGTGCCCCGATTTATTTTTAATAACGGTTCTTCGTCTTGTCAACAGGTGAAGATCTGGTTCCAGAACAGGCGGACAAAGTGGAAAAAACACGACACCGTGACAACGACGGAATCCGCGGACCCGGCGACGGCTGCCGCCGCCGCGGCATCGGCGGGACTCGGCGGCGGAGGCGGACTTGCCAAGTGTTCGCCAAAGGCCGCAGCCGGCGTCAAGTTTCTCAGCGAGGGCGACGACCACTCTTCGCTGGAAGACTCGGAGAGCTGCTACAGCAGCGTGGACGCGGCCGAGTCCAAGGTGGTCACGGCCCGGACGCCCGAATCGCTGCCACCCACGTCGCCGACGACGGACAACGAGACCGCGGCCACGGCCACTACGACGACCGCCATGGCAAGGGCGCCCAGTTAGAGGGAAAACCCCAGTCGTTTTTCTCAAAATATCATAAATATTTATGACACGATCAAATATAAACGAACAGATCGCTATTGGATGTAATATTGTGTTTGTTTTTCGTTTTTTTTTTTTTTTGCTAGACGCGCGCCGCGGTGCGTGTAATAATAATAATAATAATAATAATAATTAATTATTATTATTTGTCTGTGTGTGTTAAAAATTAATGATAAAAAAAGAAAAAAAAAAAAAAAAAGCGACTCGGGAAAAAATAATAATGATTTAAAATTAATACTAATATTATTATTGATGTAATATCGCTATACTATTATACATAATATTATATTACCTATATATATATATTTTATTAGATTTCTAACATTTTAGTAGTAGGACACGTGCAAAATGTGTATACCGCGGTGTGATCAGCAATGATATTGTACAGCCATTCGCTAACTTATAACGGATAGACGTCGCGAGCGCCCACACTTGTATTACGATGATTATCTACGTATAAATAATATTATATTATATCACGTTGACGTGTCGTCTGCAAACTGTTTTCGCTATATTACTTTCGCACTGTTCATTGTTACAATAATTATTATATTATTTTGTATTTTGAGTGTATAATACTGTTGTAAACTAAACGATTAAGAAGAAAATATGTGTGTTTATTATTTTCTGTATTATATACGTGATTGTATTTATTATAATAATTACATTTATCATTAAAAATGTTGGACACAAGGCCGTGTTTGTGATTTTTACCTCATGTTTGAAACAAAATAATAATAATAATAATACGCCCCTCTATTCAAAAAATAAATGAATAATTCCTTGCACTTTGGAAAATTAAAATAAATGTTTACTCGAATATTAAAATGACAAATATTTTACGGTTACCCACTGGTTTTTATGAAAAAACAATTAATACTATTTTGTCGCGGTGGTAAAACATAAAAAAAAAATAATAATAATAAACGTGAAATGAGCAAATATTATGGTAGGTAATATCCTTCAAATACGGCCCTGGTTTGTTCCGTTAAACTTTTCATTTCTCGTTTTGTAAATAACATAATTAGTATCATTTTATTGATATAGATGACACACGAACAAGAAGTTTTTTGATTAGCAGTCCCTGATAAAACGTCACGTTTCTACCATCACCCATTTGTTTGCGGGATTTTTAGTTTTTCTTTTATTCAATGACTCGTAAAGTACAAATGATTACAAACATCGTGATTTTTCTTCTCCATTCGAGTATTAAATGTATGTACCCTCTACTTCTCTCATGCACTCTCTACGGTTATGCTCTCTTTATTAATATTTTATCGCTGTACGTTATTATTATTATTATTATTATTATTATTATTACATTTTGTATTATTTAGAGTGTATCTATTCTATCGTTTACGAATATTTTATATTTGTTTTTATGTTATAATGTGTAAAAAATGTCTTTTTTTTGTAACGCCCTCCTTGACGGACGAACTGTACTGAATAGAAAAAAAATATTGTCTTTAGGACCTAAACAACGATTATATATTAAAATATTTTCGAATATTAATTAAATAGAACTCTCGCGATATTTTTCTTGAATTATTACCTATGATTATTACGTGCCTATGGGCCATAATTATTACCTATGCACGCTGCACGAGCATCCGTGTGTTTATTATATATTGTGTACAGAATGTGTATTGTGTATACTACCTCTATAATAATATTATGTACTATCTACAGTGGATATTTGTGTATAATATTTATGAAGATTTATTTTCAGTGTGTTATATGTTATTTTTTTTTTTTTTAAAAAACCAACATAATAAATGTGAAAGAGAATTAAAATATTAATTGCATTTTTGACTTTTTCAATATGATTACAAGTAATATTAATTATTATCGTCAAATAATATAATTTTTTTATTGCTTCGTGCACAAAAACGTGAAAAGAGTGTACGTGTTTCAGTCACTTCAGCGACACCTATTATTTAAATATGCTGCTTCAAAAGTGTACATATCGTGTGAGACTATGAGGCGCCATCTAGTTTACGTTCGTCGACTTATTCCGGTTGAGAAAACATCAACATAATATTATGATAAACAACAGTATTAATAATTATTATATTGCTATGTTTAACCGTGAATTAAGATAATTAGGAAGAAAAAAACTTCAATTGTCATCACCTCACACAATTTAATGAAAATGCTGCTCCTTTCAACAATACTCCTTCCATCTAGCGATAAATGGATGCGAGTATATTATGTGAAGTACTTGAATTAATGCTTTAGTTCATATCTTCATAATATAATACACGTATCTGTAAGGCGTATTATACAGTAAATTTAATTAATACTAAAAATTCATATTTTATGAATGAATTATAAAATATTGTTTATGTTTTATGAAGTTATATGACTAAGTATATTTATTTAATAGTAGTACCTATGAAGTAACAATTTATAACTTTATAAAGTATAAATAATAATCTATCTTAGTTTGTGCTTAACTTAAACTTAATTAGGTATGTACTGAACGGGCTTACTAAAATTGTTTCCATTAAACGCCTGTTCACAATTAATTGCGGAAACAACCATGCTGAACAATTGTTCGACGTAATTAGCAAAAGTAGACTACTTTTATATGCCATTGGTCTCTTCTTTTTAAATGTGTATAAGAAATTAAAACTATAAGATTACGTCACATTATTTATGATAAATATATGAATATTATGGTGTCCGTTGACCGTTGACATTATTACCTAATACCTATGCCATATTGCCATACCTATTGTAATATTTTCTATTACAGTGCTTAGAAGTTTAAGTCCTTGAATAGTAAATACTTTAGCAATTATCTGTAATTGTTTTTACATAATATAACATCGAACATGACGTGCTAAAACAAATTATAACTTAAGGCCCATAATTAATTACAATTTAATGCAACACTTTTCTTGTCCTTAGAGTTTGAGGAGACTAGCAATAGTACTTCCGAAACCAACATACATATATATTTATAAATAAAGAAAATAAAAACGTAGTCTAAATAATTACTATACAAAAGAATCATAGCATCTGATATGATAATATACCATATTGTTATTTTTTTATCAGTTATATTACCAAGAAGCAAATTAAGGAAAAGCAACTCTTTAAGTTTTTCTGAAAGTATAACTATTAATTGTACCTCTTGGTTTTCCTATCATATTGACAAAATTGGCCTTGTAATTTACTTCGCTAAATAAATAAATAATAATAAAAAAAATCGTTTGAAGTAGCCTCCAAATCTTGTACAAAAAAAAAGTTATCAAATTTACTTATTGTTTTATTATATGTATTACAGATTGTAAATACATATTTATTTAAAATAAAAAAAAAGTATACATTTAGATACTTTAGTTCTCAACGAAACATAATATTTTTAATCTTTTAAAATTATATAATTTTTAAAAACATCTTCACTATTGCTTTTTTTCTTAATACCCTAGATTTAAAGTCTTAGTCCTGCCTTAAATAGGGCCCTTGGTAGATGTATGCAGTAGTGCAGTACCCATCTATTCATATTAGTGTAGGTACATTATACTATCTTGAAGAACGATAACAATATATTTATTATAGAAATGTTGTCTAGGTGATGGAAAAATAACTTTTATTCATATGATAAACCGATGATTGAAGCTTATATTTTATAAATATTACATTAATGTTATTATTTATAATTACGTCTATAATTTAAAATATTGATCAATTTTAATAAATATCAATTCATTAAATTAATCAATATCAAAGGATCAAGGTGATGTATTTGTTAAAATAAATACAATTTTATTATGAAAAAACAGGTTAATAATATTCATCATACTTCATAATTAAAAAATAAAAATGCAATAATTGTCAATGTTTAATTTGTATCAATTTTAATTAATTACCAGTGATATTGTCATATTATTGAGTGTTAATATTAGATAGGTAATATAAATTTTGTTTCACTCATACATTTTGTTTTAGAATTGCATATAAAAAGTGGCGTCTTATAATTTTCTTATTTCAAATATATTTATATTTTTTTAATTAGTAATAAGAACTATTTATTCCAAAATTTAATAACATCTCGAAGATTACAATATTGATGGTTAAGTTTTCATAAAGCAATTACACCATCAAATTCAAACGGAATATATAGGGTTTCCATGTAAACTTGAAGAATATCTTTATTTTATAGAATCAAAAATATATTCTGCATTTTTTTTTTTTTAATTGTAAATGGGAGAATGGGCTTTTACCGGAAGTTTAAACTATTTATCTTAAAAAATCTTTAAATTGTTATTTTAATTAAAATAATACTTTTGTCCTATAAAACTTTTATATTTAGCATTGGTGTCGAAAAATCAAAAATTTGTGTGACGCATCAAAATAGAAATTTTGAAAAAAGGTTATATAACATTATCGTGATGTTTTTACTATTCGCAATATTTTTAAAAATTATATTCATTAACATGCGATTATTCTTAATATATGCATGGGACAAATGGAAAAATCACGTGTGGCCGTTTATAATATAATAAATTATAAACTGATCGCGATCACGGTTTAATTGTGTGTTTAAGGTTAATATGATAGTTCATATGAATTGAAGTGTATTTTTACTATTTTGAGATATAAATAGAAATAAAATTAACGGATTATTGATAAACTAATAAAGTCTGTTATGTATGTAATGATTGCAATGAATGTATGTATTTTAAACTTTAATATGTTATTATAATAACATAAAAATAATGTAGAATTTTAACGTAGCAGTAATTGTACAGTCGAGACAAATCGAATAGTAGTAGATGTGCCTTGCGTTTTATACGTGTACCTTTTTTTTCCATTGCTTAACCCCCATGTAGCATCACTTATTGAAATGATCAATATATACAATTTGATCAACATCATGAACACATGACGCTGAACAATATTATACACAACATATAGGAGATGCTCGAGACATGTTCCGAGTTACCCCTAAAAAACTTATATATTATGTGTATTACGTACACAGAATAGATATCCTCTTTACAGGTCGATCAAATCCGCCACCCTAAACATTTCGTACAAAGTCAGTCTCTTTTCAGACTAGCCTGAGTCAATCGTCCTAGACACCTTGTTCCGCAGTATTCATCACTG